GCTAATTTCCAAGGAAAGTAATTGACCTTACTTCTAATTATCAAAACCTCAAAATACAAACCGGAAACCTTTCTAAGTGAAGCTTAAAAGTGTAGATATATTCTATGAACCATTTCATTATAAAACTCACTAAACGACACAAAAGGGATATAATATAAACAAACCTAAGACATAAAGAAAAAACACACATGCAAACAAATACTAGACACTTGAATCGAAACCTAGGTGAGAGATGTGTTTGGACAGCCTCCCACGAGATGTTTAAGGTGATGAAAGTGTAGAACCAAGCATATATACGAGAGAACCAACACAAGTTCCAATCAATCACGAATACTACAAAGGATTCATTATTGTTGGCCTCCGACTCACTCTTTTAACACGAGGTGAAAGAATAATGCCCATGGCATCAAGTAATTAATCCATAACGCAGATTTGAAAATGTTTATGAAACATGTTCAAGAAAGGAAACATAATATTATAATGCTAATAGCTCCTTAAACCAAATCAACATCAAGTTAACTAAAATAACATCCATAACATAGTAAAACTCATATAAGGAAAAATCAACTCACTGGTAACTCAATAAACAGACAACCATAGGACACATATACATTATTTCAAAGCATCGTCAGCTGACCAGTAGTTAAAAGCAAGAAAATCGTGGATTCGAAATTTTTGGACATACCGAATATATGTTTTAAAAAAAGAAAAGTCTAATAGAAGCTTATAATGAAAAAATAGTTCCTTTCTGGGCAGCAACAGGGACAAGAAGAGAAGAAGATGACGACTTCACCGTGCCAGCAACAATCAAGGGAACAACGAAGAAGATGAAACAAAATCTCGAACCTTAGACAAACATGGCGACCAAACCTTCAACTTCTGTTAATATCTTTCAACTCTAAAGATTACAAGAATCCTATATGAAATTTTTCAATGGAAAAGTTAATAGTCTTGTTTCTTTACTTGTTCTCTCTTTTAAAATCCCCCCAAAAAAACCCTTCACAAGGTGAAGAAAAGGGGTATTTATAGAGGGGAATTAGGGTTTTTTGGATTGGGGAGGGCCGGGGAATTCTCGGATTAGCTTGGCTACAATCAAACACTCACTTCGATTTCAAAATTTGAAATCCTTTCCAAGAACAATGAGTAGGTTGCATTTTGATGAAAAACACCACCTAAAATCTGACTTTTAGAGCGACACATATGGTTGGGATGTAGTCCTTCGTACTTGAAATCGACGTGGCATCCATCCACACGAGAAAGGACGAATATTTCAGAGGTTCCGAGTAGGGTAAGGCAATGTTGTACGAGAAAAAAAAGATAGAGACGTTAAAGCAGGAGAGACGCGTGACTCTGCCACACTACAATGAGAACTCGCGATTGTCTTTCGCGCGTGAAAAAGATGAAGATTCGCACGTGTCATCTTTGTCTGCTGTTGATTTGCCTCTACCTGTATGAGGATATCTACGCTTGAAGAAGATGAAAGGAATAGGACTGGTCGAGAAGGGAAAGTGGGCTGGAAGATTTAGTGTGGGAGGGTTGGTCCAATGGGATTTGGAAAATTTAATGAGCTGGAATATTTAATTATTTCATTATGTTTGGTTCATCTAGAATTCTAAGAATAGGGATTGGGCCTGGGCTGTATAAAATGTGTGGCTGGAAATAATTAAAGGGGTGAAATTGGGCCAAACTCGTCTAGGAGGAGAAAGACAAGAACTTTTGAATTTGAACCATTCTATGAAGCCAAATGAATTTAAACTGTGACAAAAATTACTTTGAGTAACATGGATTGGAATTTAATTAATCGACGAACCTCTTAAATTTTAACGATATGAAATTGTTAGCTTAATTATAACCAAAAAGGAAAAAAGTAAGTTAACCATTTAGCCAAAATTAAATTAATACGGATGTTAAGTAAAATTTCAAAATCTTTTTGAAACGATTTTCGAGTATTTCTAAAATAAACTAATAACATATAATATATGTGTATAGGTATGCACATATAACTTTAAAGATCATAAAACGGGTAAAATAACTTTAACAAATGACGAAAATAAAACTTGGAATTTTATAACTTCCATTATTTCAACTCGTTTGGAATCAATATGCTCGAGAATTAATTATCACCGAGGAGGGTCGAAATTGCGTGTCAACAATTGTCCCACATTTTACATGGATTGATGCAAAAAATTTGGGGAAAATGAAATTGACAACCCAAAATTTTGACCGATCACATAATAAACTAGGGGCCGGATTTGATATGGAATTTTTTAATTATTGCTGGACCCCGAAAATGGGCTTACTACATATCTCAGGCTATATGAGAATTTAGTCCACTTGTAATTCGAGTCAATCAGTTTAAAAGGAAATCTATTATGCTAGATAACCTTCGGTTCTAGACAAGTGACAAATTAAGTCGAGTGTGAAAAAGAGTCTTGCAACCTCTTATTCATGAATGTGATTCACCTCACACCCATAAGTAAGAACTTACACGAAGATAATTTCCAAAACTCTTGGTGCACTGTCACTCAGATTGGAAACTTGCTTCTGGTAGAACGAAATTCCGGATGCAAAACTAAAATTGACAAAAGCCAAAGAAAAACCAACATGCTTTCTAATAGGGGCGTTGTTTGATTGTGCTGGAAGTCGCTCCTATGCTCGCGTATTAAGAGTTTGACATTCCTCTTTGGATTATGTCCCAGTTCACTTCTAAGAAAAGTTCTATGTAGTGCTGCATCCTTTTTGATTCGTCCACACTTATGGTATGTTTCGAAGAATTTATCCTTTCGAATTCTCTCGACAATGACAGATTAAACTCGTCAGCATAAAAATATAATTAAGATAGGAGACAGTTTCTTTTACCATGTCGATACTTAATTTTTCTCCTCGACATTTGACATCAACTCGATTGGTTTGACGTAAAGCAAATATCGCTTATGTCTTATGTTTGCAATATAATCTTCAATGTATTTTTCATTTGATGTCAACATAAAGGAAAGTTTATGCGTTGTGCTAGTATTTCTCTTGTCGTCGTCTTCGATGCTCTTCTTGATATTTTCATTTATCAAAATAAAAGAATGCAGTTGATGCCAATTTATAATATTTCTCTTGGGATACACGATTTTCTTTTCTGGCAGTGCATGACTTCATGGGGGCATGAAAATATTCTAGCGATGCGTAAATTTCTTTAAAGTATGAAATCTTCTCACAATGCATAACTTTTCTGCAAGGCATGAAATCCTGTCGCTATGCATAAATTTCTGCGAAGTATGAAATCTTCTCGGGATGCATAAATTTTAGCGAGTCACGGAATCTTCCCGTGATGTATTAATTTCTGCGAGGTATGAAATCTTCTCGCGATGCATAAATTTCAACGGGGTATAGAATATTCTCGCAATGCTTGGATATTAACTCGCAATACATGATCTTCTACGATGCATGAATATTAACTCGCGATGCATAATTTTTCGAGATGCATGAATATTGGATCACGACGCGTGATTTTTTTTGATGCATAGATATTTAATCGCTATGCATGAATATTGACTCGCAATGCATGAATTTCAATGGGCCATGGAATCTTATCGAGATTCTTGGATATTAACTCGCTATGCATGATCCTCCGTGATGCATCAATATTAACTCTTGATACCATCCTTGATACAAAATGAAGATAGTACTTCAATCGACCACCATAGTGATATTCTTGGTGCTTTCTGGATAATCATATCGTCTCTAATGATAATAATGGTAAAACAACTTCCACATTATATATCGTCTAGATTGACCATAAAATAATTGACCCCTCCGGGTAATGCATAATATCATATCCGATATTACGATGCAAATGACGTCTTTTACGGGAAACGTAAAGTCTTCCTTCAGATTTGTTCTTGATTCACCTTCGAATCTAGCTGGACCTTATTTATAAATTTAATGTTGTTGGAAATTGATTGAAATAAACAATTCATATTCCCAAGTCTCTAACATAAGTTATATACATCGATTCCTGCTTCTTGGAAAAATATCGATTTTAGGATAGTTTTCTCTTTATTTGACTTCTCATATTTGCGGTCGGAGAAATTTGATGACTTCTCAGCAATATTATAAATCTGCATCCATAAAAAAATAGTTAGTTTTAAAACTGACTAATATGTGCCCATTATTCAGTTGTTTGCTCCTTGTCCATCTATGTCCAGTTGATCTTCCTGATCTCCCCACTCATGATAGATAAGACAAGATATTTTACATCAAAACAAATGACCCATAAAATGAAAATCTTTAAGAAAAATAAATTTTTAAGAAGTAGTATTTTTAGAAGAAAAGTCACTGCCACGTCAGGTCTGGCGAGCTTTCTTGAGCCTGATGCTTAGAATTATCTAGAATTATTTGTTGGGGAGTATTCAAGACCAAACTAAACTGTGGATAAACCCATGTTGAAATTATGAGGCCATCCTCAAAAATTTTGTCCCCGTTATCTGTCTTGCTTATCTTTCAATTGTAAATGAGTAGATTGCGGAACTTTAGAGATCTTCTCAAAAACTCTGTCCCAGTTGCAAATATCAAAATATTCAGTCTTCACTTGTTGATGAAGAATGTTGTTCTCGAGAATTTTTGAGTCCCTCTTAAAAATTCTCTCCCAGTTTCTATTGTAAAGAGGAATAGAAATCTTATGGGAGATATGACCGAACCCTTGTGGTACTTACGTATCACGTTGAGGAAGGAATCAGGTCAAACGTATTTTCCCTCATAGAAAAAAATAAGAAAATTTATGAAAAACACTGATCGAGGTCGACATAGGCCGCCGACGTATCTCATTTTTGAGAATTCAGGTCGAATGTATTTCAATTATAAAGAAATATTTAAGGAGGATAAATGGGGTGAACAAGGCCGATGTAGGCCACCTATGTAGCTCATTCTTGAGAATTCAAGTCAGACGTAGGTCAAAATAAATACAAGCAAATAGATTGATTACAAATAAATGACAGAAATACAAACTGACTTTACATGCAGTATCTCTTGACAACATCTGAGTTGATAGGTTTAGTCCATGCGGTGCCACACATCTCCAACACGAACAAAGCACCTCCACATAACACTTTGTGAACCATGTAAGGACCTTGCCAATTTGGTGAGAATTTTGCTTTGTATTTGTCTTGATGAGGAAAAATGTGCTTATGCACCAACTGACAAACTTCAAAAATTCTAGTTCTTACTCTCATGTGAAAAGCACGAATCATTCTTTGACGATACAACTGACCATGACAAACAGCCACCATTCTCTTCTCGTCAATCAAAGTTAACTGATTGGTTCTCTTTCTAACCCATTCAGTGTTACTCAACTCAGCTTCTTGGATGATTCTCAATGACGGTATCTCATCTTCAGTAGGTATGACTGTTTCTGTTCCGTATACTAGTACGTACGGGGTAGCCCCAGTCAATATTCTAACGTTCGTTCAGTAACCCAATAAAGCATATGGAAACATCTCATGCAAACCTCGATGATTGTCAACCCTTTTTGACATAATCTTCATGATGTTCTTATTGCGGCTTCTACAGCTCCATTCATCTAGCGCGATAAGTGGTTGAGTTTCAGTGCATGATCTTGAATTGCTCATATATATCTCTCATCAAGTGACTATTAAGATTTGCACCATTATCAATATTGATGGATCTGGCACCAAATTTGCATATCCGATTGTTGCGAACAAAATCAGCAACAACTTTCTTGGTTACCGGCTTGGAAGAAGCTGCTTCCACCCAATTGGTGAAATTATCAATGGCAACCAAAATAAATCTATGTACATCAAAAGTAGCTGGCTCTATCAGACCGATGACATCCATACCCTAAGCTAAAAATGGCAAAGGTGAACTCATACCATTGAGTTCGTGAGGTGGCACTCAGATCAAATCACCTTGAACTTGACATTTATGACATTTTTGCACAAACTTGCAGCAGTCATTCTCCATAGTCATCTAGAAATAACCGGCTCAGAGGATATTTCTTGCCAAAGTGAGCCCATTCATATACGTGAACTCCGGCATGTATCTATTCAATAAGCTTCACAGCTTTAACCGCATGAACACATATGAGAAGACTCAAATCTGGAGTCCTCCAATAAAGGAATTTTTCTCTTAGAAATAAATTAAGATCCATATGGCGTATCGACTTCTTCTGGTCGGATGTAGCATATTCAGGATAAATTCCAGACTCCAAATACATCTTTATATCAAAATACCATGGCAAACAATCCGATTCTGCTTCAAGATGTGAAAAATGGACTGGGTGTTCTTTTAGCTCTATATCTAGAGAATTAATATAATCGTGTCTGCATGATTGATTATTGAAGCGATTGTGACAAGAGCATCATCCAATTCATTCTGTATCCTAGGGGTTTGTCTGAACTCGATCTTACGAAATCTTTTGCACAACTTATTTACATGTTGTATGTAAGGTATAATCTTCGGGTACTTCACAGCCCATTCTCCTTAAACTTTATGAATCAACTAGTTTGAATTTACAATAAACAGCAAATTGTAGACATTCATGTAAATGACCATCCTCAAACAAAGAATGAAAGATTCATATTCAGCCATGTTGTTCGTGCAATTAAATTGGAGCTTAGATGCCATGGGATAGTTATGACCAGATTCTGACTATAAGACCGCCCCAATACCTTTCCCTTGGTGATTTTCCGCTACATCAAAGAATAGTCTCCAACCTGGATATGCTTCATAAATATCTTCACCCACAAATGACACTTATTCATCGTGAAAATATGTATTATGCGGTTCATACTCTTCATCAATGGGATTTTCTACGATATGATTAGCCAAAGCCTATGTTTTTATCGCCTTCTAAGTTACAAACACAATATCAAACTCACTCAATAGCATTTGCCACTTAGTTAATTTTCTTGTATGCATTGCCTTCTAGAAGATATACTTTAGCGGGTCCATTCTGTAAATGAGGTATGTAGTATAAGAAGATAGATAATGTCTCAACTTCTGGGCAAGCTAAGTCTAAGCACAACACATTCTCTCCAATAGAGTGTAACGAGATTCATATAGAGTAAACTTCTCGCTTATGTAATAAATAGCTCTTTCCTTCTTTCCTATCTCATCGTGTTGACCAAGTACGCATCCGAATGCACTATCTCATACGGACAAATATAGCATCAACGGACTCCTTTCTCACAGAGGAACCAATACCGGTGGATTTTACAAATAGTTCTTAATAGCGTCAAAATGAGTCTGACACTCTTCAGTCCACCTTGTCCAAGCGTCTTTCTTCAACAGCTTGAAGATAGGGTCACACACCACAGTTGACTGAGCTGTGAATAGAGTGGTGTAGTTCAACTATCCTAAGAAACTCATCACCTCTTGAATCTCTTTAATCTTAGAAGGATCGAGCTCAATACCCCTTCTGCTTACTATAAATCCCAACAACTTGCTGGCTGGCACCCCAAAAGCACATTATGCAGGATTTAACTTTAAGTTATAACGCCACAAACGGTTAAAAAACTTCTTCAAGTGCGTCAACAGGTCCGAACTCTTGCGGTACTTGATTATGACATCATCCACATACACCTCAATCTTCTTATGAATCATGTAATGAAATATAGTCGTCATAGCTTTCATATAGGTAGTACTAGCATTCTTGAGACCAAACTGCATCACCCTGTAGTGATATACCCCCCACGGTGTAATGAAAGTTGTCTTTTCTGCATCTTCCTCATCTATCAAAATTTGATAATAACCTACGTAATAGTCCATAAATGATTGCATTTCATTCATATTACAGTTATCCATAAGAATATGAATATTTGGCAACAGAAAATTATCCTTCGTGCTAGATTGTCGAGATCTCTGTAGTCAACACAAATTCTTATCTTCCCATCCTTCTTAGCAACCAGAACAACATTAGACAGCCAAGCCGGGTATTGTGTCACTTCTCACCAATGAAGACTCGATGTGCTTGGTGATCTCTTCTTTGATCTTTAAACTCAATTCAGACTTGAACTTCCGAGCCTTTTGCTACACCGGATTGAACCCCAAATTAATTGGAAGTTTATGTAATACATCATCGGGTACTCAGCCCTTGCATGTCACCGACTTCCTGGACGAATACATCAATGTATTCAGAAAGAAAATGAATTAGGCCTTTTATTTGCGTTTCTTTTAAGTGAATGTTGATCTTAACATCTTTAACGCACTCTAGATCTCCCACATTTACCATTTCTATTTCCTCTAGATTCGGTTTATGCTGATTTGCAAATTGCCAAAATTCCTAAGCATTATACTATGATTCCTCACTTTCTTCTTCGTAATCATCAACCTCGTCATCACCTATCTTATTTTGTTCATTCAGCTCGTGACATGACATGACATTGGCAGGTTCACAACTTACATTACTGAAACAATAAACAAATAAAGTTAAGAAAGCAAAGTATAACAGATGAGTAAATAAACAAATATTAAACTAAAAGAGGATTTCATTCAAATAAAAAAATGGTGCAAACTTTGTCCATGGCATAGGGACATGTTCCTTTTTAAACATCACAATGGAAAATTTAAAATTCAAACAATTAAGAAAATTTCAAAATGGTGGGTCTGGGGCCTCTTCCAAACTACCACCGATTTAAATATGCATAGAATGATGTCTTTCTACCAAGGAGTTCGGGGGATCGGGATGGGTGAGGAGGTCCACTTCTACAATATCTCTGCTTGCTCTCCATCACGGATGCCTGTCAACTCGACCTCTTCTTCAATGATAGCATCAACCTCCTCAAAAAGGCCACAAATTCCATCCCCAAGATCCTCCTGCTCGGTATATTCACGGACTTGAAAGGATTGATATATATGAGGGATTGTCTTATACAATGCTAGATCTTTCTTCTTTTTTGTCCTCTCATCATCATTTGTGGGGACGTACCCAATCCGTACATTTCTCCTTTTACAGAAAATTTAATGGGCTCAACATTTCCTTGGGAATTCTATCCTAATTCAAAACTTGTTCAAATCCACTTTGAAACATCACAATAGCAATCATGTAATACACAGAAGGCATGCAAGGTTGTAGGTCCAAGTCTTCACAGATGGAATTTACGAGCTCTACCTTGTAGGAATCAGTACCTCGAGATACTTGATCAATAAACAGTGTCAGTCTACCAGAGTAACTCTCTTCTCCATGAATAACCAGCTTTTTGTTCTTCCAAAAATTTTTCATTATCTAATGCAGAGTAGAAGGCACAGCTCCAACCATACGAATGAAAGGCCTTCCGAGAAGAAGGTATAGCTGGTGTCAATATCAAAGACTTGAAACTATGCACTGAATTCTACCAGACCATTTGGATGATCAAATTCACCGCCCCCAACGTATCCCTCTGAACCTCATGAAAGGCTCTTACATTGACTTGGTTTTGTTCCAACTTCCCAAGGTCAAACCTTAACTGCCTTAGTGTCGACAATGGGCAAATATTTAGACCAGATTCATCATCCACTTAAATACGAATTATGACTTTCTCGCAGCACACAACAGTGATGTGCAACACCTTGTTGTGTAACATCCCTTCAAAAGCAACTCATAATTGCAATAGCTAATCTGATGCCCTTGAATTACTTGGTTTATCATAACGGTCACATTATCGCTGCTTGTGCCCATGGGCACATTCGTATCATCAAGAGCCTTTATCAAAGCCTGCCTATGCAATTTGGAACTCATCAGCACAGACCATATGGAGATCTTGACTGGAGTCTTCTCTAGATACATGACAATAGAATAATCCTTCAACTTCATTCTTCTCCAGAATTCCTCTGCCTCACCCTCGCTTATTGGACTTTTATCTTGAATCTTCCTTTGACCTCCGAGAGCAAGATCCTCAAGAATATTAAATTTTCTAGATCGGTTAATACCTTGTCCAACAACATCTCACTCACAAATTTTTACTGGATAAGAGTTTTTGACGGCACCAAGGCAACATCCTTTGCGGGAATCAAGATAATGAACTCTTTCTTCTTTTTGATGCTCAAAGCATCTACAACCTTTTCCAACTTGTCATGAATGATTGCATTTATCACTTTTGTCATACACCAATTATCATGTGTTTCTATCATACTGACATTGTGTCCTTCATGATTTGGCAAAGGATTGTTATTGACATTAGGTGCAGATTGTTAGAGAGAAACCACCTCTTGGTCAATTAAATCCTAAATCTTGTGCTTGAGGTTTATACAGTCCTCTGTATCATGCCCAACACTGTTTGAATGATAAGAACATCTCTGGTCTGGCTTATAGTATTTTCAATTGATATCCATGGTTTTGGGCCTCACATGGTAGATATTTCTCACCGCAACCAGTCGCTCGTAAACCTTTGTTCGTATTTCTGCGAGCGCGTTGAAATTTCTCAAAGGTTTTTTCACGAATAGAGGTCGATGGGGATCAAAAATTTCTTGTATGGGAGGCATCTGTTGATGATCACAATTGTTCGGATGGTGAATTTGACTTCCGGGATATGAGTTTTGCTGGTAGTTTGTCATTGGAGCTTGGTAGTTTTGGTGGGGATTTTTATATGGTGGAGGTAGGACTTGGAAGGATGGGGTTCTCGGTAACTCGACTGCACGTTAACAAAGTTTGGAGCAACACCCTGATAGGGAGATGAAATTTTTTAGGGTTGAGGATTATTTTGGTAAATGGGAGATGGATTTTGGTAATTCAGGGGTGGACCTTGGTATAGTGGATCTTGGACGTTTGGATAAGTAGAGGTAGAACTATGATAAATTGGAGAATTTTTGGGATGACTAGTTTGTGCATAATAAGCTTGGTAGGAATTTTGGGAAGGCCA